AATTTCACGGTGGTGACCACTTCACAACTCTGTGGCTGTACTGACACCAGTAGACTGTACACTTTGGAAGGGTGAAGTGTCTCGTGTGTGAATATGCCTCCATAAGCTGCTACAGAAGAAAGCCACAAGCTACTCCTCCCTTGCACTGGGATAGCTGGTCTGGGTGGGTCCCCCAGAGGCCCATGTGTTGAAGGCTTGCGCTGCCTACAGCACTGCTAGGAATAGTGGAAGCTCTGGAGGTGGACCCGTAGACAGAGGCTGAGGTCAGGGACGTGGCCTCAATGGGGCCCAGTCCTCCTTTCGATGAGGCGGGCAGCTTCCTCTGCCATACCCTGAACTGGCCACAGGGCCGCCTCACCACAGCCCCACAGCAGGGCCGAGGGACCATGGACTAGAGCCTCCACAACCGGTAAACCTTTCTTCTTTTGAAGGCTGATTATTTCAGGCATCTTGTTACAATAATGCAAAGCTAACAGATGACTATAATAAAAAGACCTTGCTTGGGCCTTATATAGATGTTACACATATGTAATCAAACACCTCTACACCACTCAAATAGCAAGTTATAAAATTATTGAATTTTATATTACCATTTGTTTTATAAACATGTTGGGAAAACAAAAATGAGTGATGAAACTGGTGGTAAGAAATGCAAGTCTCATAAATTTAATTAATATACAAATAGAAATAATCATTAGCCTCAGTGAAAAGCACAGGTGATGACATACTAGAGTCAGCTTTCAGTCTGTGAGCTACATGCTCACTACAAAAGAACAAAATTAAGGAATGTCTCCAAAATGCTAGAACTGTCACACCATGATCATGTCAAGATCATATATGATTAAAAGTAGGTTTTTAATATTTTTACAATACTACTTTAAACCCCCTGGGAAAGAATCATACTGTTTTAAAATATCTGCTGTTCAGTTCCTTCTCATTCAACTGTCTCAAGTATTTATAGGAACAAACTACATACAAAAATAAGAGTATCTCTAGGTACGGGCAAAGGCTGGCAGCTATAAAACCAGAAGAGCAGGCCAGAGACATAGCTCAGTGGCACCACGCCTGCCTGGCAACTGTAAGGTCCTACGTTTGATCCCTGGTACCTCCCCCACCAAAAAAACACTAGCAAAGCACGGAGGTTGTGTCTAGGAACTAGTCACAGCTCACAGGAAAGAAGCCTGTGCAGCTCAAGGCCTAAAACAATGCCTCATCTAATCAAAATATGAGAGGCTTCCTAAGTGGAGGCCCCTTCTCCAAATGGAACACCATTAAATAGGAACCCAGAGCCAAACTGCTGAACATGCTTAAAGATTAATGTGACATGAACCTACCACAGAAGGAGCTATGGAAAATGAAAGTAACATGTTCAAGTATCAAAAGTATCAGAGGATTTTTTTCTATTGTACCTATTTAGGGAATAATTTTAAATATACATGGGTATCTCTCCAGAAAATCCTGTTCCAGCTGCACTCTTGAGCATGGGCTGTCCAAACCTAAACCATTTCGTGAACATCCAAGCCCCAAGAACCATATTCACTATATTTTAGTACAAGTGAACTGAGCACAGCAACACTGAGGACAATGGAAGCAGCATGTAAATATTAGCAGAGAGAAGCCGCCCAACTCACCCCTAAGGGAGAAGCACAGCACGGCACGGGCGCAGGGCCCCCATGTCGGCACTGGCACGCACTTCCCGCCGGGACCTGCATCCACGCTGAAGTCACACCAGTTACAAGCCTTTTAAATCCGTGCACCTTTGTGTCCGCTCACGACGGTGTGTTTGCCTAGACCCTCAATACTTACTGTTGAGAATTCTTCCAACCTTTTGCTTTCAGACTTCTACTGGCTCTCCAACCTCCTTTACCTTTCCTGCTTTTAAAACAATTTTTAAAATCCATGATCTGTCACTTTTCATTAACTTAGCATAAAACATGCATGTTATTTATCATACTTGTAATTAACTTAATTTTTAATAATTTGAAAGGTAATTCTCTATAGAATACTTTTTATGACTCACTCTTGGGTGACAATCTTAGAAGTCTGAGTTTCTAAATTTCTGGAGGAATTGGCTAGAGGGTAACACGGTAAAAAGTAAAAAAGTAATTTTTCTACCTAATAACAAACAGGTATTCTCTACATTTAACATACGTTTCTTGTCACTGTGGAAGAATAAGTGCAATCTTCTAACTGTGGTTGCAAATGTTTGGGGCCATTGCTTGCCACCAATAATGTCAAGAAGAGCATAAAAAAAATGAGAGGAAAACACTAACTCAAAACTGTCTGCAATACCAACTCCAAATATAATATTTTTCAAAGTTTATGGGCAAGGAGAGTCTTTAAATAACCAGGAAAGCCACACAAAACTGCTTAAGGTTCTTAAACTGACTTAAGATTCAAAATATAAAGTTATATACAATTTATATTTTAGAATCAATAGATGTTTCCAATTTATCCTGGTCTGAAGTTGCACCTTTTCAGTTGTCAGACTCCCCAGCGTAAATGCTCAGGTGAACAGCACTATGAATTATGACTGACTGATAAGACTCAGGCTGTAGTAAACTCCCCGCAATAAATATTTATCCTTTAAAAATTTTGGAAGACATTTGCTCTTTTTATAGAAAATAACAATCCTTTGTCTTTCCATGAAATTCCCTCTGTCATATATTACCGATATCTTGCTTCTGTATCACCACTTTCGTATTTTACACACTCAGTTCCTCTCTCATCTTCAGTCTGTTTCGATCACTATTCACACAGTGATTTAATATGCATCTACAAATTGTTTCTATTACATGCCCTTTTTCTTGTTTCCTGTTTTTTGAAAAGCTGTTAGTTTTCTATGCTTATACTGTACATGAAAACATAGCAAAAAGATGCTTAGGTGTCTAATATAAGACATGGAAGATGATCTATGATAAATCGTAAAAATGAAACTTCTTCCTAGAAAAAGGAAATCAGAGAAAAAGAGAGAAAATGGCTGGACTGATATGATGTGACCAGAAATAAAATGCTTTCTGGCATGCAATAACAGATTACATGCAATAACAGATGGTAACTAGAGATTGCTTGAAAAAGTAGGAATTTCTGACAAAAACTGGAGAGACTATACAGGTAAGTCATTTTTGTTCTTTGTTGTTGTTTTTGGTGTTCTTTTTCTTTAGTTCCTCTAAAACCAAGCTGGAATTAACATACATACTTTTTGATGTGTTTCCCACTGGACAGTGTTATACCCTAACCCTAACAAGACACAAAAGTGACCTGCATTTTTAATCTGATAAAGTTGTCTTCTCTCTAATACAGATTTAATGGGTTTGGTTTAATATAAAAACAGAAAAATGAACACCTCAGGGACTTTTTTGGGGTATACTTACACTATGAAAAGACCTTTTCATTCACTCATTCAGCATACAATGACTTTCAAAATTGCCTGCCGGTCATTAATACACTGACAAAAAAGTATTCGAAGTGTCAAATCTTATGAAGAAGAGACAAAAGAAAACTTCACTAGCAAAAAGTAATATCAAGAATTTTAAAAATTCATTTCTAAAATGTTAATGGTAAAATCCAGGATCTTAATAATGGTATCCACGTGAAAGACACCATCCCAATTCTAACAGGACCTCATTCTTCCTGATGTCCCTTTATTCAAGGCTGAGAGGCATCCACAGGCTTTAGTGACAGAGCTTCTGCCCCTCTGAACTTGAAATGAAACCTGAGTTCAAAACAAAGCTTGAAACCAGGACACACAGTGCCTCTGTTCTAAACCTAACCGGACAGTTTTGTGGCTGCCAGTTTTCCCAATGAAAGATTAACCTAACTCTTGGGTATCCTCAGTTGACACTGAGCAAGCAAACCACATCAGCCTTTCTCAATTTTCTTTTTCTCGTACAGGGGATTGAACCTAGGACCTCATACATGCCTGCCAAGTGCTCTAATGCTGAGCTACATCCCTGCTCTTTCTAAGACCATGAGACAGAGTCTCCCTAAATTGCCCAGAATGGCCCCAAACTTTCAATCCTCCTACTTCAGGCTCTCAAGTAGGTGGAATTACAAGCATGTACCACCAGATCTGGCACTCTCTCAATTTCCATTTATACATTCATTCACTCGGACATATTATCAATTTAAGTGCATGTATTATGCTAATGATTCCTGATTCTGTTTATTCCCGGTCACGTGGATGACTATACTGTAATGTATTTTTGTTTGTTCAATATTCTGAGTGTAGTATTTGCAATACAACTCAACGCAAAGGAAGCTTTGCTTCCTCTCACCTTATCTTTGTCCACATGCAATTCTGTCTCCTTCCAAAATTCCACTTAAAAATGATCCCTAAGCAAGCTGGGAAAATAATAAGGCTATCCTGTAACTCTCAGCTTTTACGTGGTACTTCTAAGAGAACACTTACATCAGTTCAGATCCATTTGCAGGTTTGAGTGCTCTCATTTGATGTGTTTATTGTTGAATCCTGCAAATACTGTGGCTGTGTAGAAACAGTAAATTTCAATGGCTTAGACGAGAAGACCGCACAATATAAAACCTGGCACACCACCGGCTTCTTGTTCTTATACTATTTTGACCTTCTAGGAGAGTGCTGGACTTAACGTGTCCAAGTTTTATCTAGGGGAAGGGAAAATTTTAGATTTCAGACCATTCCAGTTCAGTACACTATCGTCACCAGGAAACACAAGTCCAGTTGCTTTCCTCAGGCACACCAAGCTGCCTGTCCACTTCCTGTTTCAGCTTCCCATGGCACTCTAAACACACAGGCTGCTCCGATGGAAAAGATCAATGATTTCAGATGATACAAAATTGGATGTCTTTATACTGAGTTGCCTTCCCACACGGAAACACAGACAGTCTATAAAATAAGTTAATATTTTGCTTTCAGAGCAACAACATTATCTGCCTTCATTATAAAAATATAGACTTCATTGGATATAATGATTTTTCAAATAAAAGGGTTAAAATAATCCCAACATTGAAACTCAAAGGCATTTTATGTTCTCATATCTTTATTAAAGTATTTATTTTATAATCTTGGCTCAATAATAACTGATATTTTACATCACAAATTTGCCTTTAAGTAGCACATAACACACTTAAGGCAGATTTACTTTGTAAATGGCCTCAGTTTCTAAACACTACTATACTGCTTTAGACAAATAACAAACATCAGAGGAGAATCTATTCCTGCCTTTCCTGGTACTTATCTGCAGATTTTAAAACTACATAAGCTGAATTCTCATAAAATTCCATTTTTGAGGTAGGAAACAAACACTACTACTATTTTATATTTCCACTATCTGATTTGAATGGATGCAGTTACTATTAATAACATAACCTTTAAATCTGTGGGAAAAGCTAATACTCATCCAGTCCTCATAGAAAGTACATCTGCAAGCTTAACAAAGAGCTGTTATAAAATCATATTGCTAAGTATGATCTCAGCGCAGAATCCCGCTTATGTAATTATATGCACATCACAGCTAACATGTACTGTGCAAATTATTAGGGTACATCCCAAAGAGTCCTCCAGTTGCATTAGCAGCAGGAGTCTATGTACCACTGAGGACTCTTTCTCTGGCCTCCTGGTCATTAACAGAAACTGAGGCTTTGGAACTATCTGGTGACTGAAGACTTAGAGGGGCCTCGCACACACCTCCAGGGCAGCAGGGGGAGACTCAGAAGGTACGGGCTTGCAGTTCAGGAGGAGGTTCATAGCAGATCTCAGGGGCACAGAAATGCAACCAGAATCACTTCATATTTATTAGAAAGGAAGAGTCATTCAGTCATTTCAGAAAAATATCTTTGAACTTGTATATTTTCAAATGCTTTTTAAAGAACATACAAAATTAATCTATAAAAAAGCATCAAATGTACTTGCTATTCTTCACTTCCCCTGCCAAATGAGTTCTTCTCAACAAGCACAGATGTGTGTTCGTCCCTACAGTAAGACAAACTCCTCTGTGCTGAATCTTTTTAATCTTTTCTTTTCATCCTCTGAGAAAAGGCCTTCTTCACTAGCCGTAGTAGATGTAAAATCATAGTCTCTGGAAGGTCCATGTACAAAAGTAAACAAGGGATATTTCTCCTTAGATGACATTTTCAGCATCTGTAAAGAAAGGATAGAATCCAGTGTACACAAGGATGTGAGAACCACAGGGTAAAAACTAATGTCTTAGTCTCAACTTCTCATGGTAGCTCCTCTTGTTTACATTCATCCAGTGTTATTGTCTCAAGTGTTCTGGCTAAAAGAGTAAAGTTGATTAGCACCATATAATTTATAGGTAACTACGTGCTTCTCCAGTAGGACTGGATCATCAAAAATTAAGTTCACTCCCAGTCCTAGGCCCCCCAAAGCAAGTCTTCTAGACACATTAGCTTGAAGGCATCTACTACAGAGTTCAGTTGCGATTTATCATCCCTATTACTAATATACACACAACAAAATGGTATCAGTGACCATGGTAAAATACTGGGAAAGATTTTTTCTAAACCTAGCACAGACAAAAGAAGCATTCAAGTGAGTAAGAAGATCCATTTTAATCTCAGTTGTACAACTCAGCCTGATAGGACCGTGGGCAAATCGCTGTCATCTATACATCAGGGCAGAAGACGCCCATTTTCCTACCTCAGAGAACCACTAAAAAGACCAAAAGCAGTTACTTTTTAAGTTAGTTCTTTTCAATGATTCCCATATTTTAAAAAATATTTTGACTGAACTATTTCTACAATAATCTAGTCATCATGAAAAAAAGGTTCTCAGACACAGTACGACCCCCACTGTACACAGTAACACATTCACAACAGGGCCATATTCATGTCTCACTGCCAGGAGCCTTGGCCCACCAGTGGTACATGCATGACTGTCCCACTGGGTGGCTTTTTATTAATTTTCATTAGTAAAATGACCGACACAAGTGATGAAATCTTTCTGTACCATCAGCAGTACAAGCCGCCCAACGGGTCGGTCACGCACATGCACCAGAGGTCCGGCCAGAGGGAATGTGTTGCCTCCTGAAGCTGCATCAGACAGTAGAACAAGCAGCATTTAGAATGTTATGGGGCTACCGCAGCCTTTACAGCCTGTAAACTTGGGGTTCAAAAATACTCCAAGCAATTTTGAATCTTCATATTAAGTTTTATTAAATTTTCATTAAAAATTAATTAAAAACTGTGAATGAAGAATGTTTTGACACAAAGAAACTTTTCTATTGGCAAACAGGACCATATAGAAGGATTCTGAAAGTTTGTGTGAGTTACACAGAATGCTGAAAAAATACCAACAGTACTTATATGCATCATTAATCAGTTAAATATAATTTTTAAAAATGGTAATTACAGGGATAAAACTAAGTTCTCCCAAATGTCAACATTCAACTGAAGGATCATCAAATTCTTATATATTACATTTATAGATTCTCTTGAAACATAGCTAAAATAAATAGGTTTACCATTCAGAAGCAATGTTAAATTAAAAACAGTTCAATGACACATTTAAAATACATATTTTAGCATCCGAATTGAACAGACATTTCTCAAAGAAGTAAAAGCAGCAAATAAACATGTGAAAAAATGTTCAACATCACTGGTCATTCGAGAGATGCAGATGAAAACAACACTGAGATTCCATCTCACTCCAGAAAGAATGGCTGCTATCAAGAAATCAACCAATAACAAATGCTGGCGGGGGTGTGGGGAGAAAGGAACCCTTCTCCATTGTTGGTGGGAGTGCAGACTGGTGCAATCACTGTGGAAATCAGTATGGAGATACCTCAAAGAACTAGGGCTAGAGGTCCCATTTGACCCAGCTATTCCCCTGCTGGGTATCTTCCCCAAAGAATTAAAAGAATCATACCACAGTGATATATGTGCACCCATGTTCATAGTGGCACAGTTTATAATAGCTAAAGCTTGGAAACAGCCCAAGTGCCCATCAACTGGAAACTGGATAAAGAAGATGTGGTTTTTTAATAAAATGGAGTAGTACTCAGCCATAAAGAACAAGAAACTAGAGTCACATATAGTTAAATGGATGCGTATTGAGGCCATATTCTTAAGTGAAATAAATAGGACACACATGTGTAAATACTGAATAGTTTCTCTAGTGCGAGAAACTGAAAGTGTAAATAAGGATGAAAATGATTAAAACAAATAATTGATAATTTGAAATAGGAAAAGGTCCAAAGGTGGAGGGGTGCTGGGAGGGGAAGGGGAAAGGGAAGAAAGGAAAGGAAAAATGATGAGAAAGAAAAAATGGAAACAAAGTCTGTGTAAATAAGGAAGGTGGAGGGGTGAAGGGCACATAGGTAATGGGGAAAAAAATAAGAACTAAGATACATCATGTACAAGTACAAGCACCCAATGATAAATGTAAATGTATTGTATACCTAAAATGTACCAATTAATGTATAAATTTAAAAAAGTGTATATTTTAGTTTCATAAAAATGAACCATTTAAAAACAATCAAGTAAAAAAAAAAGAAGCGATGAAAATCCTCTTATAATTTCATATCATGCTTCTAATGTATACATGCTCTTCTTTATTTATATCCTACAAAAAAGGGGAGGAGTATCTGATAGTGCATCTTTCCCCATGGCCAACAGCTGGAGTACTGTCCACAACTGCTTGTCATTTTATAATCACCCAAAGTCTCCTGTAAAATCCAGTGTCTAACAGGCAAGTACCCAGATGCTACCATTTTCAGATCAACATAGCAGAGCTCACAATATCATCTCTTTCTCCTTCCTTTCAAGATCAAAAGGTCATTTGGTTTTATTAGTACAGAACTAAACTGCTCATCAATATAAAAATCAAATCTGTGGCCCCAGGGAAAAGTGTTGGAAAGGAAACCTTTACCCTTTAATTATTAAATGCACCTACATTCTGCAAACGCTCTTACAATGTAGGCCTCCTTAGGCACCCAACCTATGAGAATTATTCTTTTTCCAATTTTTCTGAGCTTAAAATACTTTTAAAAGTAAACTGTGGTACATCCAGATAATGAAACATTATTAGGTGCTGAAAAAAAATGAGCTATCAAGCCATCAAAAGACACAGAGAAGCCTTTCCGATAGTGCTACACTGGTGGACACGTGTCTCTACACGGCTGCCCACACCCACGGAATGCACGACACACAGAGTGAACTCTAACGTACACCACAGGTTTCGGGCAATGACATTGCCGCTCTGCACTCACTGAGTGTAACCAGGGTAGACTCTGCTCGGGACACTCACAAAGGTGAAGGAGGTACCCGGAACTTGATTTTTTGCTCAATTTTCTATGAACCTAAAATTCTAAAAACTGAAGTATTTTAGAAACATATTAATGAATAGTTAACATAGGATTAAAATATATGTAATATATTTTAAATGTAAATTTGAAAGTAAAAGATAACCTATTAGCATATAAACGTGACACAGGAAGGAAGATGTAATTTTAAGACAAATAAAAATGGAAATTGTAAAGGAGCTTTTACTAGTCCACTCCTTTTCTAACTGGAAATTCAGAACCAAAGGATTGAAATGATGATGTGGTTGTTACAGATGATATAACAGCAGCAGCAGCAACAACAGAGAAACAGACAGTGAGGGCCCGAGACTTCATGACTTTCAAATACTCCCATACCTCAGCACCATATCAAGAATGTTTTTTCATATTTCTTTCTTTGAAAACTAACGACTGATCTGAAATTTTGATTCTGAAAGCTTATAAAAAATGTTTTCAGTGTTTTTTTAGTATTACAGCAATGGCTACAATGTGATAATCTTAGTTTTCCATAATAGATAATATAATATATACACAAAAAAATTCTAAATTAGGTTACGTATGTGACATGGAATATAATCAAGCCATTATAAAGAAAAAGATAATGTAAATTATTAAATAACTGAAGGAAATGTTAATTACATAATCATAAAAGACAAATTTGTGTTTAATGCTTAATCTCAATTATATTAAAATTTAAATATGTATGTTGAAAAGACCGGAAGGAAATACAGCAAAACATTAATTGCTATCTCTAAATGAAGACTCAGTGCTGGCTGTTCTTACATTTCTATTTTCTAAACCTTATAAAATATATTTTTTCTGTAAATTAAGAAAAAACTATTTTTAAAAAGTTTAAGGTAACTGAATTTATTATCTTATAGTTGTTTTCAAAGGGATTTCTCTCTCTCTCTCTCTCTCTCTCTCTCTCTTTTTGGGAGGGGGTATCGGGGATCGAACTCAGGACCTTGCACTTGTGAGGCAGATACGGTGCCACTAAGGCCCTGGCCCTCTTTTTCTCTTTTTTGTGGTGTCGAGGTCGAACCCAGGCCTTGCACACTCAAGGCAGGGGCTCTGCCCCGAGCTACACCCAGCCACAGAAGGACCATGGCAGGAGGCAGGCTCAACTGTTATTTTAATAACATCGCTGACGACACACTGACACTGCTTTATTACCTAAAAAGTAAATCAGGGATTTCTTTTCAAGGGATCAAATATTTTATCACACTCTCCTATGTCCTGAGTTGACAGAGTGCAGAATTTACAAAGGAAAAAGCTGGAGGGCAGAAGGTAAGCAACGTATTCTACCATAAAGGTGGTAGGTGCAAGTAAGAACAGAACAATCAAAAGCTGACCTCTTCTCTCCAAACCCGGCCTCCTCTGCCACTAAACCTGTGCCCGCCACAGAGCAGCCTGTCCCCATGCGGTCTGTGTCCACTACACTGGAATGACATCCTGCATAGGGGCGAGGTTCTAAAGTCAACCCATAATGTGAAAATCAAAGAGTCGAGATTAACGTGGAAAACTCTTCTACTGTCTAAAGAGTGGTGTGTATGATCTCGTGTGCATAAACCCGTTAGTAACGCGTAAATGTACAACACTCAGCAGTGCTTAGCATATAATAAAAGTGCACGTGGAGAATACACATCGGACTACAGTGGCTCACACAGTTGAACAGCACACACTGCGTGAGTGATGCTCATTCCCTGTATCTCTCACTACTCAATCTTAGAAACTTGTAGGTCAAATTTTAAAATAATTCAAACTGATCAGACCAAAGTAAAAATCATCATTTCCTCCTCCCCAAATTAGCTCCCTCTCAGAGTTCTCTCCTTCTATCAAT